TATTAATGTAAGTCTACCACCAACAGACAAACATATAGCCCTCCAATTTGACAACCGTGATGTAATTTTATCAATAAATAAAGACCAACTACTTTTCCTACCCATATTAGATCCAATAGGAAGACCTAAATATGTGAATGAAAGTTTTCTTGGATTACACCCCACTGAACTTGCAACATCTTGAATATCCGACCAATCTACCCTCACCCTATAAATATTCGATTGCTGCATGTTCAATTTCAACCTTGACACCAAGTAAAATTCATTTAAAACTCGAGATATGTTAAATACTTATGAATGATCCCATTATGTTACAAAAACAACATCATCTACATAAAGAAGACGAGAAAGATGGAACTCATGTTGACGAACAGATATAGCACATATCATTTGAGAATCGACGACATCTTCCACGACTATATGTATCCCTTCCATAGCTAAGATAAAAAGGAACGGTGATTATGGGTCTCCCAGTCTTAGACCCCGGTATAAGGAAAACTCAGTTGTAGGACTTTCGTTTACCAAAACTGACGCTTGAGCCGGACATAATCACGAACAAATCCATCCTCTCCACTTCTGGCCAAATCTGAAAGACTCCATAACATAATCCATATATTTCCAACATAGCGAATCGTATGCCTTTTCAAAATAAATTTTAAAAATCATCATTTTTTTTTCTTTTTTTCTTAACATTTTATAAATGTAGTATGCTCCTGACTAATTATGTCCCCCACCATTTTAGCCAAACGCAATGCCAAATTTTTTGCAATTATCTTGTACCCTACTCCTATTAACCTATTAACGATATTGATCTAGAATCTTTAACAAATAACGGGTTTTGTACTTTCGGAATCAACGTTATAAATGATGCATTACATCCCTTAAGCATCATCCCCGTGTTGAAGAACTCCTGCACATATTTTACAATGTCATCCGCCAACTATGACCAATAACGTTTAATGAACTTAAACGAGAACCCGTCTGGCCGAGGAGCTTTATCCCCACCGCACAACACCTTTTATTTCATCAAATAGTAATCTCGGCCTCAAGTGCAATACGGGAATCGGGAGCTTGCATTCCCCGGATTGATTGTATTAAATGGACAAAACTTATCTTTATAATAATTGAAAAAAAACATCCTTCACCTGAACTGGATTTGTCAACCAATTTCTATCAACCATAACCCCTTTGATCGCTTGTGACCGTCTCCGTTGCTTCAACATGCCATGAAAATTTTTTGAATTCTCGTCCCATTCAACATCCCAACAAACTCGGGACTTTTGAGCAACATCTAACATTTGCCTATTTTCAATCCCATCTAGTTGTTGAAGCAAATTAAGCCGTTGATTAATCTCATCAAGTGTAGCCATGACTTCATCCATCTTTTTGTCCAAAGAAGAAATTAAACTCAATATATTATTTTTATCGCTTTTGTCTTTTTCTTTATTTTCCATGTTCCATTGCTTCAATACCTCCTTCAAACCTTTTAGTTTATTTTTAAAAACAATTGCTTTTAAATCCCCATCCATTGCACATATATTATTCCAAGTCGTTTGTACCACCTGATCAACCTTCGACTAGCCACCATAAATGAAATACCATAAATGGGGTTGGACCAAAACCAACTTTTGAATTTTGTAAAAGAATCGGATTATGGTCTGACGATTGTTTCTCTGTTTCTCCAACACCACAACTGACACATCCGGTAACATCTCGATAAAATCCTGGTTTGCTAAGAAACTGTCCAGTTTACTCATCTTTGTACCATTTTTGTTCATCCAAGTAAACTTTCTCGCCCCCATTTGCAAGTCTATAAGACCATTATCCTCTATAAAATGATTAAAATTCGCTGCATTATTTGAATAAAACATTGATCCAAATCTTTCGTCTTCCTCTCGGACTTCATTAAAATCTCCAAAAGAAAAGGTATGGCCCATGATGATGACCAACAAACTCAGTAACCTCCTCCCACAGTTGTTGTCGCCCATTTGGATCTTGGGGTGCATAAATATTCACCATAAAGCTTACACCCTCAAAATTAAACCATTGACCTTGGACAATCACAAAATGATTCCCACATGTAATATTTTGTTTAATAAATACCGTAGGATCCCACATTGAAACAATCCCATCAGAATACCCTCTAGCTGAGCTACAAGCGAAATCAAAGTTGAAATTTCCCCACATCGATTTTGGCTTGAAAAGTTCAATCTTTGTCATCTTCGTTTCTTAAACACCAAGAAAATTCACCGCATGAGGATAACATGAAACTTTTAATCCACCTACATTTTTTGCTTTTGCCAACACCTCGTGCATTAACCGAGAGTATATTCATTGATTACTTTTTAACTCACCAATACTATTCATGACATTAGTAAGACTTTTTTGACAGCCTCCCATATCATACCCCATAACACCCCCTTCTTCAATCAACTTTTTTAAATCCTCTACTAATAATAATCCCCTATTTACTCTTGAACGTGATCTCTTTTTTGATCTAGGGAACACAGTGCAACAATTACTACTTGATCCTCGGCTATTACTTATACTCATTCTGGCATTGTGCATCTATACCACACAACCTGTAGGTTTTCTTCAAATGTTCAAAACCTGGTGGACAACTATCATCAATAGATTCTTCATTTTCTTCCACTATGTTGACAGATTTTTTAGTTATTGTGTTTTCTTCCTCCCCTAACACTACACACGGTTGTACTCTATCTCCATACTGGCATTCCGGACTACTTTCCACATATGTAAGATGACTGTCCACTTTGCCATCAGCTTTATCTTCATTACACCCCTCGCCATGTTTTACAGGTGACGAAAACTTCTTCAGCGGTTTCTCCAACACATCTTCATCATCCTCACTTTTTTCGTCATCAGAATCCCCTTCCTCTTCTTCAGGTTGATGATACGCCTCAGGATCATTGATGTCATTTCTTTGTAGCACGTTGAAACCTAGCCACCGAAACAAAGACGTGATAATTCCCCACCCATATCATCGACAACCTCCTTACCATGTCACCTATGTCTTCTACACCCAAGAAACGAATAAAACCAAATCTCTTTCCCAACCTTGATTGCTTTCTTGCAATGTAAGCATCTACTATCTTGCCATGTTTTTCCAAAATTTGCCATAACGCCTTTGAATCAAGTGAGTCAGGAAAATTTGACACATAGAATGTTGTAGCTAATTGATCAATCTCTTTCTCATATGGATTTGGTATTGATTTACTAAAAACATTGTTAAAACCCTTATTTCTCCCATAAGTATTGTTCTTTTCCGATTGATTTTTCATCTTCCCTGTTTTCCACACCCATACACCATCACTGTTCCCGTTAATACGTGTGTCTCCCGAACACATTCATTCACACTCTAATTCCACAAGAAACACCGAAATCACCTCTGATTAGAGGGTTCAGAATTACCGTGAAGTCAAGATCGACTTACCAGGAGGAGATTACAATGGATACACCACCAACATTGATACCGTCGGAGGAGGAGACCAGCGCTGAAATCAACAAAACCCAGGAATTACACCGGAGGAAAAAATCGCCGCTGAATTTTAAAAAACCCTCCCGAAATCGCCGGAGGAAACTTTTTTCTACTCGTAGTTAGAAGATTTACTTTTGAGAGACTAGAAATGGAAAGCATCTTATTGTAAATTTTATATATACTTTATATGGTTATGTGTGCTAGATTGTAAACTGCTAGTATTTTAAACTTAATTTTTGTTTAGAATATTTTTAATTGGGACCAAATTCTTCATAATTTATTGTTTGTTAAAATGAATATTTAAAAAAAAAAAAAAGTTGGGTCTATCTTAACAATATTATTACTTTTCAATGCTCATCTTCGGGCTTGAATCATTGGTTATGAAAATTGTTTATATTAAAAAACTTTTGATCTTCTATTCGCATAAAATGTTTGAAAGCAACTGCAAAGTTAGCTTGTAGCAACGATGGCGTTAAGTAAGGATGATCATACCCATCAGTGATTATGCATATATTATCAAGTGCAAATCTTTTGAAGAATGTCTTGGAATCAAGAACAATAATATTAGCGGCACTGCTGGTTAAAATTAGGAGTAAACATTCGTTGAGCTCTTCGTCCACCACTTGTTTGACGAAATGCCAAAGAGACTCTGTGTTAAGTTCGTTGCTGGAAAGCCAATCCCATTCATCCCCATCGACGTTAATGATTCCATGTCCGCCAATGGTATCCCATATATAATTAATTTTACCTTTGTAACTTTCTCCTCCCAACAACCGGAGTTCAGAGTAGTCCTCACTAACACATATACATGATCTTAGGTTCTACTCACAAAAACAATTGGTTTGTGGATTTGGGTCCTGATTTTAGTTCAAAGATTTGAATCCTTATTTTTGGAAGCTTTTCGTCTGAACAACAATGGTGGGTCACGACCCTTAAGTTGAACACCACCACCACCACCAAGTCAAAGAGATGCAGGGGTACAAGCTGCTGATGCAATGGACTCTCTTCCCACACAGAAAAACACTTGACTTTGAGAGAGAATGAAAGAGGTGAGCGGGATATCTTTTGGTACAAATTGATAGTCCACACAAGCATTTTCTAGACAAAAAAATAAATAAATAAAAAGCGACTTGTTAGAAGTTTGTATAGCCTGTTTTGGGTGTTATGGTTTGGTTAAGTCTTAATCTCAAACTTTGTTAGATATTTTCTATAAAGAACTATATAAGTGTGTAAATCATGAAAAAAGGTGAGAAGTTCTTGTACACATGGTAGATGATGTGGATGATGAAATGCTAACAACTCGTGCCACATCATAAATTATCTCAACTGCCCAATTAAAAATCATTGAATATGATAATGGCACCATCAATGTGAAAACAACTCCCTTTGTATTGAAAAATGCTAGTGATAAAGATACTTATTCAGCTTCTGTTGATTGGAAATTTCTTGGAAATTCCCATATGGTGCGCCTCAACATTCATCAACTCACTTTATATAGAAATTTCTTGGAAACTCACATCTCTATGTATATAGTTCATTTTAGTTCATTTCACTGATATCTCAACAAATTAACACATCCATGGCATCATCATCATCGACTTCTCCTTCCTCTCCTGTTCTTTCTTCTCAGTCATGTAAGTACCATGTTTTTCTTAGCTTTAGAGGAGAAGATACTCGCAATACATTTGTGGGCCATCTCTATTCGGCTCTTGAACAAGAAGGAATCCACACTTACAAAGACGACGAAACACTTCCACGGGGCGAATCGATCCACCCATCCCTTATGAAGGCTATTGAAGAATCACAGATAGCCATCATTGTATTTTCAAAAAACTATTGTGATTCTTTGTGGTGTCTGGATGAACTTGCACATATTATGAAATGCAGGGATACCAGAGGACAAATTGTTATGCCTATATTTTACGATGTGGATCCCTCTGAAGTACGAAAACAAAAACGGAAGTATGGAGAAGCATTTGCTAAACATGAGTTGGAGAACAAAACCAAGGTTGAATCTTGGAGAAAAGCACTTGTGGATGCAAGTAATATTTCTGGATGGGATCCTAAGCACATTGCCAATTGGTAATTTTCTTCTTTGTTTTTGCAACCTTTTATGCGTAAGATATGTGTGCTCTACAACGCTTCCATATTTGTACCTTTTAAGCGTTGTATACAAATGGTTTAATTATTCTTGATGAAGTTGATGACCTTGATAAGCAGAGAGGTTTTGACTTCATCACATGATCGGAGTCAAATATAAACCTGTAAAAGATTCAGTCATGCTTTCAGCAGATGTGGTTTCTTAGGATATCGGGCAAGTTAGAAGATATCCCAAGTCCTAGGACTATGGATAAGCTCAAATTAAGTTATGATTAAGTTTATTGACTTTTAGTTCTAATTCAGTACTTAAAACCTGACTTCAAGCTAGTGACGAATCCATCTTGCTTAACTTTTTGCTATTTGAAACTATTCCATCTTTCTGAAGAAAATGGTTAGAAATTACTTGTGATATTGACTTTGCAAGATCTATTTGGATGTGAAATACAATTTGGACTCTTTTTCTTTATTTCACAGAACATGAAACGAATACCTTGTTTTTAATGAGTGCATATGTTAATTATCCTTATATATGTAGGCATGAATCAAAAGGCATCAAACAAATTGTTCTCGAAATTTCACAAAAGTTGCATCAAGTAACTTCGAGTGCTAACGAGAACCTGATTGGAATAGTGGCTCGCATGAAACGTTTGAGATCAGAGTTACAAGTTGGATCAGGTGGTGTGCGGATGATTGGTATATGGGGGGTTGGGGGTGGTGGTAAGACTACTCTTGCCTCTTCTATTTATGATGAAATCTGTAGGCAGTTTGATGGTTGCTGCTTTGTTCAAAATATTCGAGAGGAATCAAAAAGATATGGTTTGGGAAAGTTGGAAGAAGATATTCTTTCAAAAATGGGAGTAACCAGAGTTGGAGGAGGAAGATGCATGATAAAGGATAGGTTATGCCATAGAAAGGTCTTGATTGTTCTTGATGATGTCGATCACCTTGGTCAACTAAAAGCATTAGCTGGATCACATGATTGGTTTGGTGAAGGAAGCCGAATAATAATAACAACCCGTGATAAGCATTTATTAACCGCACACAAAGTAAATGTGATACACAATATTAGCTTGTTGAGCACTGATGAGGCTATTAAGCTCTTTTGCAAGCATGCACCCCGGGATAACATGAGACCAGTGGAAGATTATGAGCATCTTTCAAAAGAGGTGGTCTCTTATGCTGGTGGGCTTCCATTAGCACTTACAGTTCTCGGTTCTTTTCTGTGTGACAAAAATATTCATGAGTGGAGAAGTGCATTAGCCAGATTGAAAGAGATCCCAGATACTGAAATTCTGGAAAAGCTAAAAATCAGCTTTGATGGACTTAAACCAGTTGAGAAAGATTTGTTCCTAGATATCGCGTGTTTTCATAGGTGGGAAGACAAAGATAAGGCAATGAAGATCCTCGATGAATGTGGTTTTCATCCTGTTATAGGAGTAAAGGTGTTGATACAAAAGGCTCTCATAACCATTACGTATGGAAGGTTTGATATGCATGATCTGGTGCAAGAAATGGGACACCACATTGTTAGAGGGGAACATCCTAACAATCCTGAAAAACATAGTAGGATTTGGAAGGAGGAAGATGTTATGAAAATATGTGCTATGGATGTAACAATGGTATAGTTATATATGCATAAATAAACACTTTTTAACTCAACCCTGACTCCATTTTGTTCCTCAATCACAGGAACTCGACATGATTGAAGCAATAAGCTTTGGAAATCCTGAGGATGAGTCACAAAGATATAACCATCATCCTTCGATTGTTGCAAACACGAGGAACCTTAGGTGGATTGATTGGTACGATGATTTTAAAATTCATTTGCTTAGTAACTTTCCACAAAGGACGCTTTGCCGTCTAGTATTGCATGATAGCTTCCAAAAACAACTTTGGGAGGGTTATAAGGTGATTCTTATTGTCTATCTAATTAACAAATGAAAACAAATTGGATGATGAATGTTTAACCTGAGTAATTGTTGGTGTCATTAAGCAACTTCAGCTCTCTCTCTCTCTCTCTCTCTCTCTCTATATATATATATATATATATATATATATATATATATATATATACGAAAGCACAAACCTTTAGTGTGTAAATCTCCTTTGTGTTCATAACGATACACAAAAATTTAACTTGTTTGATATTATATCGACACACTAGTCATTGTAATCCATAGAATTATGTAAAGCACGTCCTCCATATAAATATTCTTTTGTGTTAACATAAATACACAGAATCTTGTTGTTTTTTTTTAAAAAATAAATAAATGTTATATTATTATTATTTAGGTATTAATCTAAATCTATTTTTTTAGTTGGTTGATAACCATTATAAAACAATGATATCATTGATTTGCATCAAGTGATTTTTATTTCATTATTTTGTTTTTATCAAGTGATTTTTAGATTGTTAACTAAACGAACACTTTAAATGATATCCATTTACACAGATGGAAAGAATTAGTTTTTTGTCAGGCTTTTGATCTCATAAATAATGTGTACGTAACTGAGATACATTTCAGAATTTTCTAACTATATATGTATGTGCATGTGCTAAATTTTTGACTCGTTTGCAATTGTCTATATGCAACAGTTGCTGCCGAATTTGAAGACAATTGAACTTCATGGTTTGGATCACCTAACCATGACACCAAATTTTTATGGACTTCCCAATCTTGAAAGATTCATTCTTAATGGATGTATGTGTTTAGAAGAGATTCATCCATCGATTGGATGCTTGGAGAGACTTGTTTTCTTACATATAAGTGGTTGTTTGAGTCTTAAGATGTTTCCACCCATTACCCGACTAAAGAAACTCGAGACCCTTTCATTCCAAGGGCGCATAAATTTTTTTAAGTTCTCAGAGATCCAAGAAAAGAACATGGCGAATTTACCACATCTTGATTTGGATAACAGTGGGAAAGAAGTTGCATCTTGTATAGAATCTTGTACAAATTTTTTTGTTAATTGTTGGAGGTGTGGTTGCAGCATTTGTCCTGGTGTAGAATGTTGTTTAGAGGAGCCTTCTTCCTCTCACAACATGAAGCCTTGTTTACATGATCACAACAACATGAACCACATAGGGTTGCAGTTTTTTCTTAAGGACTTAAGAATTTTGAATCTTAGCTGCTGCTTGGGAGACGAAGAAATTGGCTGTGCTGTTTGGGAGTTACCCAACTTGAAAGAACTTGATCTAACATCAAATAATTTTTCACAATTAAATTTTAGTCTCTTGCAACTTCCTCGACTCAAACTGCTCAATGTGTCAAGGTGCAAAAGCCTTGTAGAATTGTTAGAGCTGCCATCAAGTATAGCTGTTGTTACAGTGGAGGAATGTATGTCTCTTGAAAGCTTTGGAGATCTTTCAAACTGCAAATGGTTATGGCACATCTCACTTGATGGGGAGAACAAACTTGGTGATAGTGACATATTACTAGACTTCATGCTCCAGGTTTGGCTTTTGCATTTCATTATATATATATATATATATATATATATATATATATATATATATAATATATATATATATATATATATATATATATATATATCTATATATAAACCTAAACATAAGAATCATATATAACTGAATTTGTTTTCCATGGCAGGGAAATGCTAGTGAACATTACTTTATCAATATCATTCTTAAACATAAGATTCCAAAGAGGTTTGTAGGTTGGCTGTTTAGGGGGGATACATTTACACTCCATCTTCCGGATAATTGGTATGACGAATTTTGCGGGTTCCTAATATGCGTTGTTACCAAAATGAGATATCCGGCTATAAATATAGTCATGAAGCTGGAGGTAGATGAAGATATTCTCTTTGAGATTTGGAAAGAGTCAAATGAAATAGTGGAGCCTGTATATGATGGAACAATGACATATGTAGGATATGTTTCCTTTGGTTCATTGAGGCACACCACATTGTCGAGTTCATCATACAATATGATTTCGGTTTCCATAAAACGTATGACTAAGGAGGTGTTTTCGGATTCATCACGCACTATGGTTACAGTTTACACAGGCAGCATGTATGGGGAGTCGTTTAAAGGTGAGAGTTGTGTTGGAGCTGAGCTCGTTCCTAGGAAGAGTAAAGGCAATCAGCTGCAAACAATAGAAGTCACAACAGATTGCTCAGAATTTTATAACAAGGAAGCAGGTAAAGACAAAGATACATTTAGGATAGAACATGATTCCAAGTATTCTATCAAGATTTTGTGGAAACCTTATCATGAGAAGCGTTTCTTGTTTTAAGTTGTTTCTCTACTTTAATTACTGGATGAAAGCAGTGCGAAAGTCTAAATTAATAAGTTAGTTTTAAGCTGCTATATGTATATCAGCATATAGTTGTATTATGTCACTGATTTTTGGTGTCATTATATAAGTAGATTGTAGGTTTTCTATTTCGAATCGGGCCCATCGGAAACTTGGCAAGCAAATACTACAGGAAAAAAATCAATTTATATGTTATGGAATTGTTGGATATCCCAATCCAAATCCAGTTACCCAAATAAACTAATCTGAATAACTTAAATGGTTTGAACCATTGAATTGATATTTAGGTAATCTTGTTTTCCAAATAACCGAAATCCAAGTTCAAAGTCCATATCTTGGTAACCCGGATAAAGGGTTCAGATCGGTGGTATTTATATAAAGCTCTATTAGCTAATATTATTTGTAAATATATTCTATTGTATTTGAATATTCTTGTAGATTTCCAATCCCTCAATGATAGGGATTGCTTTACTCTTGTATTTATACGCTTGGTATCAGAGCTAATTCTGTAACCCTAAGTTTTCTTTCTTCCACTTCCGGCCAATGCAACCCTACATCTCCATCATGACTGGCGAATCAAGCAACCCACCAAAATCGTTTCATCATGCTTTTGCAGTCACCAACATCAAGAACTCGATCCCTATCTTGTTGGATCGGACTGCCGGTCACTATGCTTCTTGGGTCGAGCTATTCACCATCCAAACATGTGCATGTAATGTCATGGATCATATCGACACCACGGTGCACCGATATAGATGACACCATGTGGACCTGCGTGAATGCAGTCGTTAAACAATGAATCTACAGTACAATCTTTGTAGATATGGTCCAAACCATCATCAAACCAGGCGACAGTGCTCAAGAACTGTGGAACTGTCTCGCTGAAGTCTTCCAGGATAACAAGACTACACGTGTAGTGTATCTTGAGGAACAATTCAACAACACCTGTCTTGATGCCTTCTCAAACGTTGCTAATTACCGTAGCCGTCTCAAATCCATTGCTTATCAATTGGCAAATGTAAGAAACCCAAACTCAGAAACCAAAATGGTTCTCCAATTAGTCGTTGGCCTCAACAAGGGAGAATACGATACTATCACCACCTTGATCCAACACTCAGACTCTCTACCTAGCTTCAACAAAGCCAGTTCACAACTTCAAATTAATAGAAAAAACCAGAAGACAAAAGCAAGACAATCATTCTCCACATGCTCTTGCAACTCAACATGTCACCGATAGACCAGGAGAAAACAATTCATCCGATTCTCGTGCTTCTAATTCTCGGGGAGGCTACCGTGGAGGAAGAACCGGCGGTGGCCGAAATAACTGTGTTCGGGGTCACGGAGGACGGAATGGCTAAAGAAACAGTGGCAATTCTCAGCCACCATGGTACCTTGTGCAACCTCCTCCACCTTAACCGACATGTATCAGGTCAGTGGGCAAGCCCACCTGCCCCTATCCAACAATGCTTCCTACCCCCAGCCCGATCAATATGGCCCTCGACCCAGCCTTCGAGCCCAACAACCTCAAGTTCAGCAGGCCCACATTGTGTCCGACATTTCAATTGTCTACAGACAACCCATGATGCCTACTAAACTGGATCACACATTTCATACAATACAACTTCAACAACCAAAAGTTAGACAACTCTTAGTACATGGACACAGGTTCAACTTCCCACATGACGCTTGACGTTGGTAACATTTCCAAACTATTTCATTTAAGCAAACCTACTTATATTCTTGTAGGGAATGGGAAACTGTAACATCCCAAAAATACGGTCCAAAATTTTTGTATTAATCTATTAATAAACCATTAAATAAAACCATAGTTATCAAATCATTCCATCAAAACGTGAGTCAAAGTATTTCAAAACATTATTATTAGAGTTTCCAAATCAAAACATCAGAGTAAACATCCTAGGCTAAACATCATGGTGTGTGCAATGCAGTCATCCCGAGCTCTTCTCTTTGCAACTGGAAGTACCTGAAACCAAAACTGAAAACCGTAAGCACGAAGCTTAGTGAGTTCCCCAACCTACCACATACCATACACATAATCACATATACTGGGCCCCCACCCCTTTCTCGGGCCTTGCCCGGCGTCGGACAGTGTCCGACATCAGGCCTCGCCTGGCATCGACCCCCGCTCGGTATACAAATCTGTTACTTCCAGGCCCCGCCTGTCTCTGGGCCCCTTCCGCTATACACATACAAACAATATCATATAATCATACTAGCACATAATGAATCATACATAGTACTATATGCTCCAGTCCTAAGGCCTCGCCTATCATGGGCCCGCCCCTACTCTGCTAATGATGAGATATGGAACCCCGTCCACACTCAGCTAGTGATGAGATATGGGACCCCGCCCACACTCACCTCCCTACCAGGCGCATACAAGTATCACACAGACAACAAGTATAATCTATCCTACAAACATTCCTCGAGCACCGCCCGACATCAGATCTTAGTCTGGAATAACCTACATATAAACCTTCCTCGGGCACCGCCCGACATCGGACTTTGGTCCGAAATAACATACATATAAATAGAGTTTTGAGTCTAGGCAAGAGGGGAAATAGAGTTTTGAGTTTGAGTATCGAGTCCGGTTATGAATATGGTTAAAGAGTGTCTAAACACTGAAGAAAAATGAGCATAAGTGTCATTTTAATGTTACTTCAGTACACCAAAAACGGACTTGGAGCAGAAAGCAAGATTTTCCATACAGCGATGTACTCGCCGAGTGCACATCTCGGACTCGACGAATCACAGTGCAAATTCACGACTTCTGCCAGTTTCGCGCTACAACTCGGCGAGTCACCTTACTAACTCGACGAGTTGATTTCCATTTCACCTCTAAAGCTGATGATTTGATGATATTTTATACGACAATTGGCTGCATTCTTGAAGATTAATTCCTGAAGATTTCCGAGAGTCTTTCCTGCATTTTTAGAGCTTAACCACACGAGATTTGACGCCCGAGACATGGATGAGCTGTTCTCATGTTTAAAGTTAATTAAAGAAGGAGCTTTGAATGAAGAACATCAACCTCGCGACTACTATCCCAGGGGAGTTTGTTCCAATTCCTTCTTTATTTTTTTTATGTTTTATTATTCATGCATAATATGCAATGGGGACATTGCGTAAATTAAGTGTGGGGTAGGGGGTTGATTATATTAATTTAGGTATAATTTTGAAATTTTTGCATTAAAAAAAATGCTAGGACTTAATTTAGAAAACTTTGGTAAAAAGCAATTTGGAATCATACTAGTATTGTGTTTGATGATTGCATGAATACCCAAATGTTTAGTTGAGCCAATATACGTTATAATGCATTTGTGGCCCCCTTTATTCTAGTGAAATCATGAGACAAAAACAAAACCTCGCTTAGTTTGAGGGATGCAATATATTTAGCATCGTGTACCAGAAATGTATCCAGGAAATTTTTTATCTTTAATCAATAAAGGTTGAAGTTGAGCGCCCTTGCTTAAACATGTAGGTTTTGAGTGAAAAAAAAGTGAGTTACATGTGAAAAAAGAGAGAGAATTACAAGAAAAGTTGTAAGAATTTTGGAGCAATTAAAGTGAAGATCAAAAGATCAAAATTCCGGAAGTTCAAAAATTGAAGATACCAAAAATCAAAAAGGTGGTGAATTCAAAGAAATCAAGATCAAAATATCAAAGAAGTGAAGAATTCCAAAAGAGCTCCATAGTGGTATCAAAAAGTTGTAATTGTCTAGATTATATATGCTTGGGTTGCTCAACCAAAAATACCTTGAGGTTAGGAGGTTTTCTGCGGATGGATTCGGAGGGATGCATAAAATGAGCATTGTTCGAAAGAAGTGGGCGAATGTTTATGAGGATTGTAAGTATTTAGAATTGAGGGGGGGTCCTTAGGAAAAATTTGTAGACACAAATGCATGCGTTGCGGTGTTGGCATAATGGCTAGGTTCTATTGGGATGAAAACAAAAATTTGTAGACACAAAAATTTGTATTCACTTGGTACTCACAGAGTTAACTGTAATAGTTCCTTTGTATTTGATGAAAACATTCTTTAAGAAAACCCTTATTTCTTTTAGTAAAAATGGTAACCACAATAGTTCCTTCTATAATCACTTAGTTTATACTAGCTATATATAATCTAATATTGAATAGTTAGTTAATTGTGTAAATCTGCCCTAAGCCCACAACCAAACAAGGAACATGGAATGAGGCGGAAAGCACACATCCAACTACCTATCGGGTATATATATAGAATTAACCACCTAAGGTCCTTTAAGTTACACTGGTTTAATAAAATGGATTAAACCCTTTGTTGGTAAGTTTCTAGCTTTGTCTGCCAAATGTTCTATTTGAAAAGTATGTTTTGTACTAGAAAACGGTGTATTGAATTAGTATACTATGACCTGGCCCATACCTGGTACTCCTTATGATTACTTAGTGTATACGGAATATATATATATAGCTAAGATCGGATAGATAGTAGGCTGGGTGAATCTTCTCTAAGCTCACAACCAAACAAAGGAACATGAAATGAAGCGGAAGGCACACATCCTACTACCTGTCGGATCCGATTAATATATATCCCTGATGTATAAACTAATGAATCATAAAGTTAGCATTATAGGCCCCCTTCCTACTGAATGTACTAGACTCGACTGTTCTGTTTGTCGCTTGAAAAGAT